AAGGAACAGCTCCAGCAGACAGACCTCACATGAAAAAAGGCACAGGTGGGAAGGCTTGGGGCTCGGGGCGCTCTGTCCCTGCCATTAGAGTGCAGAGGGTGTGGAGGGAGGGGCAGAACCTCAGTGTTGGGGATACAGGCAAAGGGCATCAGTTCCTCTCAAAAGCAGTACCTTGTTCCCCTTTTGCCTGTGGTCATCTCCTTGAGACCCTAGCCTGTTTCATGTTGCTGCAGCGGAATCTAGGGCAAAAGTACTGGGGGCCTTTATGCAAATGTGCTTTGGGGACTTCTTTTCTAGCCACAGCCCCCATCTCACGTTAGCTGGGGAAGTAACCCAGTGACCTGTGTTCTTTAGGGCAGGAGTGTTTCTATCCCACACGCTTCTAATACTGCAGTCAGTGCCCAGAGACATTTTTCTCCCCCAAAAGATTCACACACGGGATTTGTGTGGATGCTCTGTTTTCTCTGTCAATTATGTATCTGTCTATAAAATATAGATATGTTTCTCCCTCTCTGCTTAAGAAGGGAAGGATCACACTTCTGGGAATAGGAAGAGCCAGAACAACCGATGGGCTCTGGTAGTGACCCTACAACAAGAAGAGAGAGACCCGAGAGTGTATTGTCAGATGATGGATGAGCCACGCCTACGGAAGACAGCTGAGTGCGCAGCTCCCCCACTGTCTCCTGGGCAACGAAGCCTCCAGATGACCCCCGCCAACAATAATGAGATGAAAATGAAGAGCACTGCAGTATAATGAGCACGACAAAAATAGAGACATTGCTAAGTAATGGGTCGGCCATGGTTGAGGAGCGGGAGGAGGAAGACAGGACCCTCCCTGTGTGGTCTCCTAGCCAGACTCCGCTGAGTGTGGCTGAGACTCAACCAGGCCAAGGCCAGTTTGGACTCCGCAGTGGCAAGGATGTCAGAGAGGGATTAAAAAGTGGGCCTAGATGAAAAGCACAGCAGACTCTATCCTGCTCCCTGTGGGGGAAGGACGTGTGGCCTGCTGATGGCAGTAGTGAAGTTGTGGTCTTTAGCATGAATCCCTTACCCGCCTGTGAGTATCAGGAAATGGTCTAAGAGTTAATGTGCCAGATTTCTTTCAAAATATTGCATCTCATGTCTGCAGTGTATAGTGGGAGAAGCTTGTCAGTTATGGTTTTGTTCAATTGGCAGTTTGGTGTATCTGCCAGGAAAGGTGGCCGTGCCCGGGGAAGGAGGGATTTGGGTGCTGCAGGGACAGCTGTCTGGGAAGCCTTCTGGCACGGAGTCCCTCTGCGGTCTTTATTTTTCATTATTTTCTAAAAAAATCAATTAAAAATTATTTTTGAGGAAGGGCGGGGGCAAAATAAAAATTCAAAAAAAATGATTTTTGAATAAGCAATACATGCATAAAGTACATAATTCAAAAGGAACAAAAAGGCTAACAGTAAAACTAGATATTCCTTCCTGCTGCTCTCCAACCCCAGCCACCGCTTCCTTCCTAGAAGCAACCACTGTGAGCAGCTTCTTGTGCAGTTTCCTAGAGACACTAAGCACACATTAAGTGCATGTGTCCCCCTCCTCAACAGACATACGCTTTTATTATTATGATCTAAAAATTTTTTAAATGTTTATTCATTTTTGAGAGACAGAGCACGAGCGGGGTAGAGACACAGAGAGAGGGAGACGGAATCCGAAGCAGGCTCCAGGCTCTGAGCTGTCAGCACAGAGCCCCATGTGGGGCCTGAACCCACAAACCATAACATCATGATCCGAGCCAAAATCCAACGCTTAACCGACTGAGCCACCCAGGCGCCCTTATTATTATTATTATTATTATTATTATTATTATTATATTTTTACCTCAGTGCTAATATACCGTATCAGTCAGAGTCCTGACAGAAAACAGATGGCCCACATAAAGTGAGTCATTTGAGTCAAACATCATGAATGGACTGTTTACAGAAGCGTGGGCCAGCCACAGGAAAAGCACAAGAGATAGTGCAATACCCAGGGCCAGCAACAGTGGAGGGAGACAGCACAGGGACTCCTGTGAGCAGCACAGCCAGCAGGGCATCACAGGGAGGAGGCCAGGGGCATATACCCACTCTTCCTCTCCTCCCTCTGTCTGCCCTCCTGCTGCTGTACTGCAAGGGCTGAACCCAACATGAGCCAGAGAACAAGACAGTCTGTTGCTGTCATTTACAGAGGTCACTCTCAGACAGGAGAGAGGGGGTGAGTGAGGAGAGCAAGCGGTGGCATGATACCCACACACGCGCTCAGCACCTTGTTACACATTTCATTGTTTTCCACTTAGCAGTCTGCCTGTGCCTATAGCCTCATTCTTCTGCTGGCCTAGAGCATTCTGCAGTACTTCTGCTGTGGAATACTCGATCACATATATAGTATGTGTAACATTTATATGTATATAATATAGAATAATACAAACTGCATATATATGTTCATATATATAGAAAACGAATCCCTCACTGATGGACTTTTATGATTGTTTCCAATCTTCTGCTATTACAAACAGTGCTGCAAGGCATATCCTTTTACTTAGTCATTTCACATGGCCAGGATATGTACAGAATAAATTTCTGGGGAAGAGATGGCTGGATCAAAGAGTGTATGCTTTTAAAATTTTGATAGACACTGCCACATGCCCTGCATTGAGTTGGTACAAATTTACACGTGCATCAGCAACGGATGACATTCCTGTGCAGTGTTTAAACATCTGGGTTATGAAGACATGGGTAAACTTATTAGAGCATCTCTCCAGCAGTGTCTGTCACCTTCAAAAAGTATAAATTCCTCTTTTGTGGGGGGGGGATTATGAAAATCTACATTTCCCCTGTGTTTCTGTCATTTCTTTCAGAATGATTCAACAGGGATAAAATTTCTCCATTCTTGAATGGAGTGCTGCTCACTCTTCGGGAACAGTCTTGTATCAATTTAAGTTATAAATAACAGCCTCAATTTAAAAGTTAAAAGTTTCCAGTTTATCTTCCTAGGCACAAACACATCAACTGTATTTTTATTTTTATTAAAATGTTTTTAAAAATGTTTATATTTGAGAGAGAGAGAGCGCGTGAGTGTGCCAGTGGGGAAGGGGCAGAGGGAGACCGAGACAGAATACAAAGCAGGCTCCAGGGTCTGAGCTGTCAGCACAGAGCCCGACTCAGGGCTTGAACTAACCGTGAGATCATGACCTAAGCTGAAGTTGGATGGTTAACTGACTGAGCCACCCAGGTGCCCCCATCAACTGTATTTTGTATTTATTTATTTTTAAATTTTAAAAAATGTTTTTATATTATTTTTGAGAGAGAGAGACAGAGCACAAGTGGGGAAGGGGCACAGAGAGAGAGGGAGACACAGAATCCAAAGCAGGCTCCAGGCTCTGAGCTGTTGTCACAGAGCCCGACATGGGGCTTGAACCCAGGAACCATGAGATCGTGACCTGAGCCGACGTTGGACGCACAACCAACTGAGCCACCCAGGCGCACACCCTCCCCCCCCACCCCCCGCTTCAACTGCATTAAAAAAAAATTTTTTTTAATGTTTATTTATTTTTGAGACAGAGAGAGACAGAGCATTAACAGGGGAGGGGCAGAGAGAGAGGGAGACACAGAATCTGAAACGGGCTCCAGGCTCTGAGCTGTCAGCACAGAGCCCGACGCGGAGCTCGAACTCACGTACCGTGAGATCATGACCTGAGCCGAAGTCGGACGCTCAACCGACTGAGCCACCCAGGCGCCCCTCAACTGTATTTTTTAAAGAAGACATCTTGGAGACAGTTAAGAAAACCATATATGTCTTGGGCATCAGGGGACTCCAAAAAAATCACCATTAATCCCACTGTGGGCGACAGTGTTGCTGGAGCGTACAAGATTATGTTCCTGGGGACGCCTGTGACTCAGTTGGTTAGGCGTCCAATTTCAGCTCAGGTCATGATCTCACAGTCTGTGAGTTTGAGCCCCGTGTCAGGCTCTGTGCTGTCAGTTCTGAGCCTGGAGCCTGCTTCAGATTCTGTGTCTCCCTCTCTCTCTGCCCCTCCCCCACTCATGCTCTGTCTCTATCAAAAAATGAATAAACATTAAAAAAAAATTAAAAAAAAAAAGAAAAGAAAATGTTCCTGTTCTCTGAAAAGACGGTGTGGAGTCCCCAGGAATGTGAAATGACAGATGTTCTGCAATTTACCCCAAAAAACCTTTGGAAAAAAAAGATGGAGCAGATACACAAACATTAACTATCATTAAATCTAATGACAGACACCTTCCCACATGCTCAGAAACCCTTGTAACAGAAAAACTTAACAAAATGTCCAACCAAGATAATAATCAGCATTTCACCCTTTATCCAAAGGTAAGACTTCTTGTCCTTCTCCTTTGCTTCTAACCCTTCTTCCTCTAGCTTCCGTTCCTCTGGTTGCTGCACCCATGTTGCTCCAGCCCTGTTCTTGTGGTCCACAGCACACCAGCAAACAGACACTATTCACTCTCCACATGGTCTTCTTGGAGGAGAGTATAAAGTGGCTCCAGCCTGGGTTTCCCTCTGCTGAGTGGCAAACACTTGTTGCATGGAAAGGCCTCAACTCTCCAACAAAATGTAGGCTCCGTGTCCTGTCCCACATGCCACAGCTTCAGCTTCCCCATGCCTGAGTTAGGCGGGTGTCAAGGACCACCCCCATCTTCAACTGCAGAGAACACACACTAAGCTTTCAGTGTGCCCTGAGAGCCCCTTCTCAGTATTTGTGGTTTATGTTGGAAAGTAGCTTCCTGTCCTCTCCCTGGAGATGGGGGAGTGAGAAAGTATCAGCGTTCCCCAAAGAAATCATATAAACCCTCCCAATATATCTCTTGGATAAGATAACTTCCCCCACCACAATGTTCCCTCCCCACCCATGATACTGAAAATATCTTAGTATAATTAATCTTTTACTTTCCGTCACATGTGTTTAGAGATTTGTCCATATTTACATAGTAGGGTTTATGACATTAAACTCCATTTGTTTGTAATTGTGCTATAGAACGTTATTTTATTATCTTTTGCTACAGTGGCTTAAAACAACAAACATTTATTATCTCAAACAGCTTCTGAGAATCAGGAATCCAGGACTGGTTTATTTGGGTGTTTCTGGCTCAGGATCTCCCATGAGGTTGCAATCAAGATGTTGGCCAGGACAGTAGTCATCTGAAGGCTTGACTGAGGCTGGAGGATCCACTTCTAAGAGGGCTCACTTACATGGCTGAACCTCAGTTTCTCTCAGCTTATTTGGAGACCTCCATTTCTCACCAAGTAGTCTTCTCCATAGGACTGTTCAAAATATGGCAGCCAGTTTTCCCCTGAGCAAGAGATCTGAGGGAACAAGGGAGAAGGCATGATATCTCTTATGACCTAGCTCCAGAAGTGACATGCCATGCTCCTGCTATTGGTCACATGGATCAACCATGGTGCACGTGGGAGGAGACAAGAATGTGAATACCAGGAGGCAGGGACCACTGGGGCCATCTTGGAGGCTGGCCACCTTGCCTACTGACATCATCCTGCGTGTCCTCAGAGCTGTCAGTGTAAGTTGTGACACATGGATCCATTCCCCACAGAGTCGTATTCCATGGCGGGGGGAAATTCCTACAAGGTTTTGAGTGTGGCACTTGGTCACTGCGAACCAATACCAAGTAAAGTCTGTGTCTCTCAGAGATCATAGTGAAAACAGCACCATCACTCTCTGTGGTGAGTCTGGGCCAGAGGATACATTTTCCAGGCAGATCCTGTTCTGTGCTTCTAATCTCCTGTCATAGTGCCCCGTGCTCTCCTGTGCCCTTACCATCCAATCTCTTATAAAAGAAGGCCCTGGGAGGGGGGGATTGTGCCTGGGGGGCTCAGTCGGTTGAGCATCTGACTTCGGCTCAGGTCATGATCTCAGAGTTTGTGAGTTCAGGCCCCACGTTGGGTTCTGTGCTGACAGCTCGGAGCCTGGAGCCTGCTTCGGATTCTGTGTCTCCTTCTCTCTCTGCCCATCCGCCACTTGTGCTCTGTCTCTCAAAAATAAGTAAATACATGTAAAAATTTTTTTTTAAAAAAAGAAGGCCCTGGGGGGCCCAGCATGCAAACATGACTGAATCCTAGCAGAGATTAGCCTCAAATGAGGGTATTCCTAACTGCTCCCTCCCAACCCTGAAGTACCCTGGGATAAGGAGCCTTATCTGCAGTGATCAGTGTGAGAAATGAGACAAAGCAAGGAGGGGAGCGGCATTCTAGTTGGGGCAGAGGGTGTCTATCTTCCTGTCACAGAAGTGAATCCTAACACAGGAAGTCTTCAGTGGATGAGAAGAGAAGGCACCAAAAGCAAAGGCACCAAAAGCAAAGGCACAGAGTACACATGATACTCCCTACAGAGTACCTTCAAGGAATCTATGAATTCAGTGGTCCTGCGACATCAGGAGAAGAAAGGGGTAAGAGAAAGGAAACTTTCTTTTTTTTCTTTGTTTTAAAGATTTTATTCTTTAAAAAAAAAAAATTTTTTTTTAACGTTTATTTCTTTTTGAGACAGGGAGAGACAGAGCATGAACAGGGGAGGGTCAGCGAGAGGGAGACACAGAATCCGAAACAGGCTCCAGGCTCTGAGCTGTCAGCACAGAGCCTGATGTGGGGCTAGAACTCACGGACTGCAAGATCATGACCTGAGCCGAAGTCGGTCGCCTAACCGACTGAGCCACCCAGGCGCCCCTTAAGGATTTTATTCTTAAGTAATCTCTATACACTATATGGGGCTTGAACCTACATCCCTCAGATCAAGAGTCACACACTCTATTGACTGAGCCAGCCAGGCACCCCAAAGAAAATTTCTTTTTGAGTCTAGAGAGAAACTGTCTGCTTGGCACTTATACTAACTTAAAAAAAAGAAATTACATTTGTGTTTGCATATCAATTTCTTACAGTTTTGGTTTGTGCAAATTCATTTCCCTGGGGGTAAAAATGAGAACTGAGAAGTAGGCCATGGGCTGAGATGGTACTGCCTGTGGAGAGGGGCAGTACTGTGTGATGACGGGTCTTCGTCTTAGTTACCAAAGGCTCGCCATGTCCGGACTGTGGAATCTAGTTTAGCCAGCCCCCAAACTTGGAGAGACAGCATTGCTCTTTTTATTCCATAGGTGAAGAAACAGTCCTGTGGAAGAGAAATAACTTGCTAAGTTGCTCTTAAAACTCGAGAGGAGGTTCGTATCCAGACAAAGCTCCCATGATTTTCACCAGTGTTTTTCACTTTCTTTACAAACCATTATCAATTGTCCCTTCTCAGCAATACCTTTCAAGTTACTATGAAGAAAGAGCAATCTGAACTGATGCACCCACTTTGTGGGTCATTCTCATTTCCTGTCCTGTCCTCCACTAGCATTGGGCTTACTGCCATTAACTGTTGCTGCAGGTGCTGGCCAAGGTGTAGTTTCCACAGGGGCCATTCCCAGAGAGGTCACAGTGAAGCCAAAAGAATAAATGGTGTGCCTTTTCAAACAGTATTTATTTGGATTAAAAAAAGTCGACCCGAGGCACCCCATTTTTTTAAAAAAATAAGTTTAGTTGGCACATTTTTTTTTTTTTTTTTTGCAATTCCTGTTGTATGTATTTGGACATATTTCTCCTTTACCAAGGTTTTCCTCCCCATTTCTTTTCTCCTATCTTGCCTTTTGTTGGATTAATGAAGTTTCTTTGGTTCTTTCGTTGGTTATAAGTACTACATGGTATTTCTACATCTATTTTTGGGACTCGGTGAAATTTTTTAAATTGTTTTTATTTATTTTTAAGAGACAGAGAGACAGAGCACAAGCAGGGGAGGGGCAGACAGAGAGAGGGGGAGACACAGAATCCAAAGCAGGCTCCAGGCTCCGAGCTGTCAGCACAGAGCCCGATGTGGGGCTCAAACTAATGAGCTGTGAGATCATGACCTGAGCTGAAGTCAAACACTTAACCAACTGAGCCACCCAGGCACCCTAAAACTTTTTTTTTTAACACCCATACTTAATTCTATTTTTCTATATAAGTCAAAAGTTCATTAAAGGGGTGATCCTGCTCCTCAACTAAAGACATAGAATACCTTATTTTCCCTCTGCAATTTTTTCTGACTTCCTTATTGTAGGCCTCTGGTATTTTAATACCCCTATGCTTTTAACCTCTCAATAGTTAGGATTTACCATCAATCAAGGATTAGATTTGCCAACATGTTTTATCACTCTTGGCCACTACTGCTTCTCACAGCCCATTCTTCCTTTCTGGCTCATTTTCTTTTCTGCTGAAGTAATACTTCTGAAGTTCTTTCAAGTTATTCTTTTTCTTTGATGTTTTGTGATAAAACTCTGATGTCTCCAGCCAAGGTGAGGATTGTCTTTAATTATGTTCCTTAATATTTGGTGTATTCTGTTAATTCTGGAAACCCTCAGCCATTATTTCTCAACAGGGCAATGTCATAGAAGTATCAGGAAGTGGAGACAACATGACATGGGATGGTCAAGGAAATGTCTCTGAGGAGGTGATGTGGGAACGGAGATCTAAATGATGAGAAAGAGCCAGCCCTGGTGAGAAGAGTGTTCCAGACAGAAGGAAGAGCAAAGTCAAGGGCTTGGCAGGATTTGGGAATTGAAGGAAGGCCCCTGAGACTGAGGTGTGGGGAGTGAGGCGTGTGGTATGTGGCCGGAGGTTAGGTTAGATCAGAGAGGGAGGCAGGACCCTGCTGTGTAAGGGTTCCTGAGCTCTTTATGGGAGTTTGAGTTGAATGCAACCCAGAGGACCTTGGCAAAGGAACCTGAAGTCCTGTGGATCACATGAGGGAAGGCTTGAATGTTTAGAGTAGTATTAGATTTTACAGACTAATAGTGCCTTGCTGAGACAGAACAGCTTGCTGAAGGGGTAGTGCTCTTCAACACAAGAAGCAATCACGACCCAGAGAAATTAGCTGCTCTGCCCAAAGACACTCAATGGCAAAGATCAGATTATAAACCAGAACTCCCAGTTTCTAGTCCAGGTTCTGTTCTGGGGACAGCAGGAAGGGAGATGGGGAGAGTTGGAGGAGACAGGTGAATGAGTCTGCATTTAGATTCATTGGTCACCTAGGGCTGCGCTCTTCACTGGTGCTTTAGGACACCTCGGCAAGAACTTTAATTAGCTGCATCTTGAATTCTTTAGACAAGTCTATTCTCCCTCCCCATGGCTGAGGACACTTACATCCCGAAATGATGCTTTGGGCTCTGTATCGGTTTAGAGCCTTAGCAGGAAATGAGTAACAACTCAAACTGGGTAATTGTAAATACTCCTTTTATTAAACTCCCTTCAAAGGTATGGTGGGGTTTAAGAAACCAAGTAGGATGGTGCAGTGCCCTGGGGCCTGTGATGGTGGAAACCATTGTCTCCTGTAAGTCTGAAGGGGTTTATTGATTTCCCATCAGTGCTGTAACAAATTACCACAAATCTGGTAGCTGGAAACAGCACAAATTTATTCTCTTACAGTTCTAGGGGGTCAGAAGTCTAAAATGGGTCTTACTGGATCAAACTTTAGGGCCATGTTTCTTTCTGGAGATTCTAGGGAAGGGTAGTTTCCTTGCCTTTTGTAGCAGCTTCTTCTAGACGCTATCTGTATTCTTTGGTCCATAGCCCCCTTCCATCTTCAAAACCAGCAGTGGCTGGTCAAGTGTTTCTAATGATGCCATCTCTCCACTTCTGACTCTTATGAGTCCTTCCTCCACATTTAAAGGACGCTTGTGATTACATAGGGCCAAACTGGATAATTCAGAATAATTCCCCTTATTTGAAAGTCAGGTGGTTGACAACCTTAATTCCATCTTCAAACTTAATTCTCCCCTTGCCATACAACCTAACATATTCACAGGTTCTGGGAATTAGGATGGGGACATCCTTGGGAGCCATTATTCTGCCAACAATAAAGGGGCAGACATGAAACAGTTACTAGAACCCAGAAGATGTAGCTGTGTGAAGTCATGCGACTAGAATGTGACCTTTGGTAGAGAAATGGGTCCCCCAAATTAGGAGTGGTAGATATCATCTGGCCAGTTTTCTATCTGGCCACAGTGAACCAGGAAGCAAAGGAAAGACTTATTGCACTGGTTGGGTAATCAATCCTGATTAGCATGAGGAACTAGGGTTATTGCTACACAAGGGGATAGTAAAGAGAATTTCCAGAACTCAGGGCCTTTATTTGGGTGTCTCTTAGTACTTCTATTTCCTGTAATAATCATGGGAATGCAGAAACCACAACCCACCAAAGGCAGGGAAAATAAAGGGCCAAAAGGTCTCAATCAACTTGCACCAGCCTAAATGCTGTCAGGGGAGGAGGGAAATTTAGAATGGGTGTGGAAGAGAGAGATGATGAAAATCAGATACGACCAGGGACCAGCTTACAATAACAAGTACTCTTGTTTCTGAATTTTTCCAGGAGTTTGCAACTAGGAACCACTTTGAGGGACTCTGATTCAGACCCAGACCTCCCTCTAGGGCAAGGAATGAAATCCCTACAATAATATAGTATAGGAGTCAATACAATGGAGAATGAGTAGATTGGAGTGGTAGGAGAAGTGGGTTGTATCTAATGCAAATCTATGTTCGTCCTTAGATTTCCTCAGCACTAATAGCCTCCATGACTCTGTTGACACTACCAGAGGTTGATCATCACTCTCTCTGGGAACACTAAGTCCTTCACCTTGACCTCCATCATGCAGCTAGGCCAAACAGCCATGAACCCAGAGTTTCTGGCTCCTCCCACAACTTCTAGACTTAGGTGAAATGCCACATTGATTCTTGCTACAGAAAAGGCCACTTGGCAACCCGTGGAAGTGCTGGGAAGTTAACTTCCTGTGGACTGAGTCTACTAATGGAAAACAGGAGATGAGAGATTGGCAGATAAATTCCCCGTCCTCCTCCCTCCCGTGGCCTATTCCAAAGTGCCATTTCTCTCTGCAGCCTGTTTGGAGCAGAACCATCTGCCAACCAGACACGCTTGCTGAGTAACCTGCTGTGATCTTGGAGGCTTCTCATGAAGTGTCAGCCAGAATGACAACGTACCATTTCACACTTCCTCATGTCTTTTTTGCTTCACTTCCCCTTTCCTCATCTTTGCTGCCTTCCTTGTACTTCCCAAGTGGAATGGTTAATTTTATGTGTCAATTTGTCTGGGCCATGGTGCCCAGATATGTGGTCACACATTTTTCTGAATGTTTCTGTGAGGGTGATTTTTGGATGAAATGAACATTTGACTGAGTGGACTTTGGGTAAAGCACATCATTCCCCATATGTGGGTGGGTTTTGTCTAAACAACTATAGGCCTGATGAGGACAAAAAGATGACTTCCTCTAAGCAAAAGAAAATTCTATAGCAGATAGCTTTCGAATGTCAAATGTAATATCAAGATGTCCCTGGCCTCCAGCCTGCTGGCCCACCCTGCAGAGTTTGGACTTGTTAGCCCCACAATTGCATGAGCCAATTCCTTTTTATTTACTTATGTATTTAGTTAGTTATTTTATTTTTTATTTTTTAATTTTTTTAATGTTTATTTATTTCTGAGACAGAGAGAGACAGAGTATGAGTGGGGAAGGGGCAGAGAGAGAGGGAGACACAGAATCAGAAGCAGGCTCCAGGCTCTGAGATGTCAGCACAAAGCCCGACGCGGGGCTCAAACTCACAAACCGTGAGATCATGACCTGAGCCGAAGTTGGTCACTCAACTGACTAAGCCACCCTGGAGCCCCAGTTAGTTTATTTTAGAGAGAGAGAGTGTGAGCAGGGGAGAGGGACACAGGAAGAGAGACAGAATCTCAAGCAGTCTACATGCTCAGCATGGAGCCTGATGCAGAGCTTGGAATCATGCCCCGAGCTGAAATCAAGAGTCAGACACCCAACTCACTGAGCCACTCAGGCACCCTGCATGAGCCAGTTCCTTAAAATAAGTCACTTCCTATATAAATATACATCCTACTGGTTGTTCTTGGGAGAACCTTGACTAATAACACCAAGTAAGGCTCTAGCTCTTTCATCTTTGCTTTAGCCTATGTTTTAGAGGGAATCAATCCAGCCAAGACAAGGTCCCTACCTTTCATGGACCTGAGACTTCATCTCCATCCCCATGTGAATATTAAAACCCCAGGCCGTAGACCCTAAGGGTCTATCTCCAGGTCTATACTCCACTGACTGCCCTAGTTTCTTCATCTTTCTTACCA